TTGATTCTTAGTATAAAATTACAGTTTTATATCTTTATGTTTGAAGCCTGAAATGTGGCAAAAGGTCGCAAAGTTCAAGGGGGCCGAATACTTTCGCAAGGCACTGTATATGTTTTTTATTATATTGCTGCATTTGTTGCTGCTTAAAGTGCCTTAGATTTTGTTACTTATTTATCTACTTTATATTTCATTTGTATTTTGTGGCATTCATGTGGATGGCAAAGTAAGAATTTCACTGTACAGGGAAACACGTTTGACAAACACTTTGAACTTGAACTTTGCACTTGTTTGCATTATGTTTTTATACTTTTTACGAGGTTTTGAGTCTGCCTGGGGAGGACCCTGTTTGCCAACAGTCGGCCATCAATGCCAGCAATCCTTTCGAGCTGCTTGTGGTGAGCTGCCAGGGATTTTCCACGGGGATGCGAGGTGGTGCGGCGGGAGATGTGGGACTGCGGGGCTGGAGTGAGGTGCTGGGGGAGGAAACGGCGATATGGGCCATGTTCGCCATCGGTCTGCTCCCCTCCGAGATGAATAGACGAGCTAGCCGGGCTGGCGGAGCTGCAACACGGGGAGAGCGGCCCTCTGTGCTTCACCGAAAGTCCTGGAGCTGTGGTCTGTGGTGATGGTTCTTCACCAATCCCCAGGCCGGCTATGCTGCTACTTGCATGCGCACGCAAAACACGGTATCTCGGCAGCGGACACAACACCGGCAGGCCTAAATCCCCATCTCAAGGACACTAAACCAGAAGTGAAAAAGTGAAGTAGGCCAAAAGATCTCAAAAAGCAAGACATCATGCTGCGATCCAAAGAAATTCTGGAACACATGACAAACAAAGTAATTGACATCTATCAGTTCGGAAAGGGTTACAAAGCCATTTCTAAAGCTTTGGGACTCCAGTGAACCACGATGAGCCATTATCCACAAATTAAGAAAATATGGAACAGTGGTGAACCTTCCCAGGAGTGGCCAGCCTACCAAATTGACCCCAAGAGCACAGTGATGACTCATCCAAGAGGCCACAAAAGAACCCACAACAACATCTAAAGAACTGCAGACCTCACTTGCCTCAGTTAAGGTCAGTGTTCATAACTCAACCATAAGACTGGGCAAAAATGGCATCCATGGCAGAGTTCTAAGGTGAAAACCACTGCTGACCAAAAAGAACATAAAGGCTCATCTCACTTTTGCCAAAAACATCTTGATGATCCCCAAGACTTTTAGGAAAATATTCTGTGGACTGACGAGACGAAAGCTGAACTGTTTGGAAGGTGTGCTTCCTGTTATGTCTGGGGTAAAAGTAACAGCATTTCGAAAAAGAATATACCAACAGTCAAATATGGTGGTAGTAGTGTGATGGTCTGGGGCTGCTTTGCTACTTCAGGACCTGGACGACTTGCTGTGATTGATGGAACCATGAATTCTGCCCTCTACCAAAAAATCCTGAAGGAGAACGTCCGGCCATCTGTTCGTGACCTCAAGCTGAAGTGCACTTGGGTTCTGCAGCAGGACAATGATCCAAAGCACACCAGCAAGTCCATCTCTGAATGGCTTAAAAAAAAAATAAAAATGAAGGTTTTGCATCGGCCTAGTCACGGTTCAGACTTGAATCCGATTGAGATGCTGTGACGTGACCTTAAAAAGGTAGTTCATGCTCAAACCCTCCAATGTAGCTGAAATAAAACAATTGTGCAAAGAAGAGTGGGCCAAAATTCCTCCACAGTGATATGAAAGACTCATTGCCAGTTATTGCAAACGCTCGATTGCAGTTGTTGCTGCTGTGTGGCGCAACCAGTTATTAGGTTTAGGGGGCAATTACTTTTTCACATAGGGCCATGTAGGTTCTTATAGCTTTTTTCCCTTAACAAATAAAATCATCACTTAAAAACAGAATTTTGTGTTTACTTGAGTTATCTTTGTCTGTTTACATTTGTTTGATCTGAAACATTTAAGTGTGACACATATGCAAAAAAAAAATCAGGAAGGGGGCAAATACTTTTTCACAGCACTGCACATTTATATGAAAGCTGGCTAGCTTGTTCAGCAGCCATTTAGATCCCTACTGGGAGAGATGGCTGTCTCCAGACTTCCCAACCTTGCATCTCTAGTCTGCAGTGATGTTACTCATACTGACACCAGTCATCAGGGATCCACAGGTTAATAATTGAACATCAAATGGTGTGCATTTTGAGAGCAATATTTATGTATTGACATGGTTGTGAAGTAAAAGAGATAAAAAAAAAATGTCTGCATTAAAGTCTAATTTTGGCCCCCTACCCCTTTGCAACATCAGTGCTTGCCCTCCATGCTCCTCTTCCCACAAACCATACTCCACCAAACTGTAGCACTCATAGTTAGGTACTGGTTAGTTAAATAGTTTTTAGGTTACTCCTCTCAATCCACTTTCAGTTCTCTAACTTGATTATGATAGACTAAGAGAATATAAGAAAAATGTTTATATAGTTTCTTTCTTTATGGTGCATGTGTTTTCTAGGTGCAACAGTGAACTTCAGAGAGATGGAAGACGTCCACTTGGCTGCTGTGATTCTGAAGACATTCCTGAGAGAACTGCCTGAGCCTCTGATGACCTTCCAGTTCTACAATGACATCGTCAACTTTGCCTGTATGTTCAAATCATAAATACTGTTTTATTGTTTGAGTTTGTAAAAATGTCACTACCACCACTCGGGCAACAAAAGAAATCCAAATTATATTTTTGCTCTAGTCAGGAGGAAGCAGGAATAAAATCTGTAATTTCTCGGATTCTTTACTTTTATTCAAAACAATTCAGAATTTCAGTTCCATAATAATATCTTACAGGGTGCAGCGCAGCATTGATGTCCCCAGCCAGGAGTAAATAAGGAGCACAGCCAAATTTAGCTAAAGAAAGCACTGTGTGTGTCTCATTTTTTCTCAGAATAAACCATTTGGTTCTCTGGTTTATTATTTCATAGAATAGGGGTGTAATTTACATTTACATGTATTTCAAATGTGCCTCCCCTCTCTGAGTCTGTGCCCCAGCCTGGCCACCCCATCCAGAATTTTTCATATCTGCCCCTGGCCACTGAGCACCCAGTAGTATCAGAAGCATTGACTAGACTGGTAGCGATCAGCTCTGGCAGCTGTGTTGCAGCCAGAATGCGATGCAGCTGTGCGTGGTGGGAATTAGGGATAAGTCTGGGCTTTTGCTGGTCCACTCAAGGACAGTCAGAGACTTGTCCTGAAGCCACTCCAGTGATGTTGTTTGACAAACTCTAAGCATTATATTTACTAAAAGTAGCTTCTGTTTAACCACTGATTGATGGAGAGCTGGTCAGATGGTCGTCCTTCCAGCAGGTTCTCAGACCTGGGCGGCCAACTCTAGGAGGTGTCTGGGTGCTTCCAGACTTCTTCCATTTCAGTTATTGATTCCACTGTGCCCCCGGAAGCACTTAAACTTTTCAAAATGGTTTCTTACTGAGGTCTCTAAACTGACTTTTGTTGCAGTGATCACAGCAGCTACATCCTCAGTGAGCTCTAATTCACAGTGATGTTTGGTGTGTTCCAGCTGTATCCAATGACAACCAGGTGACAGTAATTAAGACGCTAGTAGAGTCACTGCCAGAGGAAAACTACGCATCACTGCGATACCTCGTCACATTCCTGGCACAGGTACAGCTGATACACTTCTGAAATTTTCAAGACTTTATATCAGTCTGTCAGTTGCCAGCAGCTGTGTGTGTGTGTGTGTGTGTGTGTGTGTGTGTGTGTGTGTGTGTGTGTGTGTGTGTGTGTTTGTTTGTTTGTTTAGGTATCAGTCAACAGTGAGGTGAATAAGATGACCAACAGTAACCTGGCTGTGGTGTTTGGTCCTAATCTGCTCTGGGGGCGGGACAACGCTATGTCGCTCAGTGCCATTGGGCCAATCAACAACTTCACCAGAGCCCTGCTGGACCAGCAGCATCTAATCTTTACCTAAATCGTGTCCCTTCATTCTTTTCATGCAGCATTTAGTTCAGAGGCTGCATCAGGGTACTTCTTTACCAACAGCACTTAGACAAGCCAGCTTCATCTGCTTTTACATTAAAACATCATACTCTTTAAAAATATCCTATAGACCAATTGTATTTCATTTTGTCCTCAACCAGACTTTAGATTTGTTTTGGCCTGTGTGCACTGTCTTGTTATGTCAAGCAGTCTGGACTCACATTTCCATTTCCATATGACTTTAGGCACAAGTGTGGATGGAAAGGTACAGACTTGAATCAAATAACCATCTTCAAACAACTTAAAATATAGCACAAAAAAAATCCTATAGCTAATAAGTAGCTGCCTAACTATCCATTCACACAAGGTCACTGGTCTGACCGGAGACTAAAGGCACTGATATAACCCCTGTTGTTGGAGGCAGTGGCAAAGTTTCTCTGACTTCTTTGGTGTTGCCATTTGATACAGTGCATCCAGAATGTATTCACAGCGCCTTATTCCAAAATGGATTAAATTCATTATTGTCCTCAAAATTCTACAAAAAATACCCCATAGTGACGATATGAAAAAAGTTTGAAACTTTTGCAAATTTATTAAAAAATAAACTAAAAAAAATCACATGTACATAAGTATTCACAGCCTTTGCCATGACACTCAAAATTGAGCTTTGGTGCATCCTGTTTCCACTGATCATCCTTGAGATGTTTCTACAACTTGATTGGAGTTCATCTGTGGGAAATTCAGTTGACTAGACATGATTTGGAAAGGCATACACCTGTCTATATAAGGTCCCACAGTGCATGTTAGAGCACAAACGAGCCATGAAGTCTAAGGAATTGTCTGTAGATCTCCAAGACAGGATTGTATCAAGGCACAGATCTGGGGAAGTGTACAGAAAAATGTCTGTAGCATTGAAGGTCCCAGTGAGCACCTCAGTTGAATATTACATAGTCCCTCATACTTTCACCTAGTTTATCCCTTATTGTACAGTCTGATTGCTGTGGGGAGGAACGACCTACGGTAACGCTTCTTCTTACACTGGGGATGTAACGGTCTTGCGCTAAAGGAACTGTTCAGAGCCTCTACTGTGTGGTGCAGGGGATGGGAGGGGTCGTGCATGATGGATATTAGTTTTACCAGCATCCTTCTCTCCACCACCTCCTTGATGGAATCCAGGGGGCAGCCCAGGACAGACCCAGCTCTCTTGACCAGCTTGTTTAGTCGCTTTCTGTCCCTGTCCGTGCTACCTCCCGCCCAGCCCACAACAGCGTAAAAAACAAGAAATGCCACTACAGTATCATAAAAAGTCCGAAGGAGTGCCCCCGCACACCAAAGGACCTCAGTCTTCTCAACAAGTGACGGGAAAGATGACTGCAGCAATGTACAGAGACATCCTTGATGAAAACCTGTTCCACAGTGCTCTGGACCTCAAACTGGGGTGATGGTTCATCTTTCAACAGGACAATGAGCCTAAGCACACAGCCAAGATAACAAAGGAGTGGCTACGGGACAACTCTGTGAATGTCCTTGAGTGGCCCAGCCAGAGCCCAGACTTGAACCCAACTGAACATCTCTGGAGAGATCTGAAAATGGCTGTGCACCGATGCTCCCCATCCAACCTGAAGGAGCTTGAGAGGGACTAAAGAAAAATGGGAGAAACGGCCAAAAAATAGGTGTGCCAAGCTTGTAGCATCATACTCAAAAAGACTTGAGGCTGTAATTGGTTCTGAAGGTGCATCCACAAAGTACTGAGCAAATTCTGTGAATACTTACGTACATGTGATTGTTTTTTCTTTAATTTTTAATACATTTGCAAAGATTTCAAAACTTTTTTCACATTGTCATTATGGGGTATTGTTTGTAGAATTTTGAGGACAATAATGAATTTATTCAATTTTGGAATAAGACTAACAAAAAATGTTGAAAGAGTTGAGTGCTGTGAATACTTCCTGGATGTACTATAAGTAACAGAGCTACCTACCAAGTGCTAATAATGTAGCAGTAATCTATGCTGCAAAGAATTCCCCAAATTTATTACAGCAGTGGGGCAGCACGGTGGCACAGTTGTTAGCACCGTTGCCTCACAGTGAAAAGGTTCCCTCCCCCCCCTCCCCCGTGACCCCGCTCAGGGACTAAGCGGTAGAAAACGAATGAATGAATATTACAGCAGTTTGCTGTGCTATCAAATTTTAGACATGCATAGATATAGGTAAATAGCTTTTAAGTGTAAAATCATTTTACTGACAAATGGCAAGTAAAATGTGAGCCATATGTGCCCTGTTTTAACTAAAACAGTGCATCTGTTTCATCAGACACACATGACATGCACAACTAAAAACAATTTGTGTAAACACTGTCAGACAGTGAAGTGATGGGCAGCTCAGTCTGATTATCATGCTAGCACACTGTAAAATTATTTAACAGTCTTGAGTGCATCTTTCTGGACATAAATGCAAATATTTATTAATTATGTTGTTTGAGTGCAGTCTTGCATAACCACCAGGTGCAGTATAAGAAGCTTTTCAGTTCTGTTGCATATGAGGGCAATTGGCAAGAGCCCTTTGGAATTACCTGGTTTTCTGAATTAAGTGATCATAAAATGTGATCTGATCTTCCTCTGAGTCATCAGTAGAGTCCGTAGAGTGTAGCCTATATAAAGATGGACAAGTTGACTGCTCCCAGAAGTGAATCCCCTGCGAGTTTATCACCCCTGATGGCTGGTTTCATTATAGGTCATAAACCCCATACAAAATTCAAAGTATTTATTGTCTCCGTCTCCGCCCCGTGCGGAGCGGCAGCAAGCTGCAACAGCTCTGCCTCTTTTGTGTGTGATTTTGCGTGTTTCCTTGGGCTTCTGTGTTTGCTTTTTTTTTTGCTATGTCTCTTTTCTGTAAACGTTTGTGGAGTTGGGCTACAAGGGATACAAGTTTTATTGCGTTTGCATCGTGTTTTATACTTTTTTTTTTTTTTTTAAGGAACTTTCGCTCGTACCCTGGGGGCCACTCTTTCGCGGCCCCGACTGTTTGCTCTGCTTGCCAACAGTCGGCTTCCTTGTGATGAGTTGCCAGGGATTCCCACGGGGATGCGACGAGAGGGGCGAGTCTGCAGAACTGGAGCAAAGCAATGGGAGAGGAGCTGGAGTGAGGTGCTGGGGGAGGAATCGGAGGTACGAGCCATTTCATCATCGGCCCGCTCCCCTTCCAACAAGATGGACGAGCTGGCGGAGCTGCAGCGGGTGTACAGGTCCTGCACACGCTTCACCGGACTCCAGGATCTGTGGCCTGTGGTGACGGTTCTTCACTAATTCTAGGAATTCGTACACTTCCGCCCTTCCCACTCTGACCACAGACTGCCCTCTCTGTGATTTGAGTGAGAGCAATATCTGTTCCTGATTTCCCTGAAATGCTTGTACTGTCTTGTTTGTTGGGTACTCTCGATTTGTTTTTATTAAGACGCGCTGCACGGAGCGGCAGCGAGTTCCAGTAGCTCTGTCCTCTTTTGTTTTTGCTTTTTTTTTTTCTTTCCATGCTTCTGGATTTGTCTATCAAGATCGTTGTGTAGTATCAAATCAAATCAAATTTTATTTGTGTAGCGCCAAATCACAACAAAAGTCATCTCAGGACACTTTACAAAGTAAGGTCTAGACCTTACTGTTATCAATATTATTACATAGGGAAAACCCAACAAATCCCCCTTGAGCAAGCACTTGGCGACAGTGGGGAGGAAAAACTCCCTT